GCTGCCAATTTTATGGACGATTCATACGAAGAATTAATCGTCATCATCTACCCGCAACATTAATTAGCCAACTCTATTTTTAAACTATTAGGTTATTTTATCAAGTCTTGGAGCTTAGCGGATGAATCCCTCCATATTTCATGAAGATCGAAGATTAATTTGTGTTAAGCCCTTGTTAATCACTATAGCGTCATATAACTAACTCGCCCTCGCTTCGCTCCGGAAACATTAAATTTTATTATTGATAGGTGAGTCCCGCCATGTTGCGCGCGGTACGATAATAATTTCGGGTGACGCCGCGGGGCGAAGCTAATCTTAAAGAAGTAGCCTAAGTTACTCCTTATATCATCAGCTACCTACTAATGAAAGTCTCATCAAAATCGGTCCAGCCGTTCCAGAGATTAGCCGGACAAACAGACAGACAGACAAAAATTGTAAAAAATGTTATTTTGGTGTATGTACCGATATAAGTATTCATATGGATGTAGTAAAAAGCGGTTATTTCAATATTACAAACAGACACTCTAATTTTATTTATATGTATAGATAAAGCTCACAGTTTTGAAATATGACACAATATTCATCATTCCGATCTCCTATATTCAATCTCTCTCTCACTTATCACGAAAGCAAAAATAATATTAAAATCATTATTATATCCACTATTATTAAGCGTGTAAGCGATTCTATCGATGCATTAGTGTCACTGTATAGCCGAGATAATGGATCGCTATCGGATAATTTTCCTCCAAATGGACGGAAATGAATCGTTGAAGCAAAACTCAAGTGATGAGGATAAAGACAAATTATTAACGAGAATATTTCTCGTTCGAGCTTTCTCAACATCAGTCACGAAGTTGGAAGTGGCTTTTGCAATGATTTGATCTATATGTATATACGTGTGTATTTTGTATTTTTCTTTGGATCATTATCCACTCAGACTTATCCAATATTTAATTAAAGAAGTCTTAAACTAAAATCGTCTCGAATTATTATTTTTCTTGCCTATTCTACCACCAACACAACAACTTTTCCTCTTCTTCCATTTAGGCCTATTATACATAATCTCTACTCATATCCTTCTCACATATATCCATTTTCATACAGGCCATATAAGTCTATTGTGGTGGCATATTTGAATGGCTTAATTTTTTTCTATAGATTGGAATACTAACTGTAGGTATACCTGATGTAAGATCATCACCAAGGCTATCGATATCACACTGTCAATAACTCGTAGCCAATCTTAATACCTGTGGTTAATGTTTTAAAAGTAGTAAAAAGAAATTTTCCTGCTCTTCAAACCACAATATATGTCAGCTTCTCGGCAAAGATAAATGATGCAGCTTCACAATATTATTATTATAATAATAAATTGCTTAAACTATATGCATATTTAACTAACTATTCTTTCGCACACAGAAAAAATGATATTTTAAGCTCTAGCTGTGTGTGTGATTGGGCATTTATTTACTAAACATATACCCAACTTTATGCTCTCTAAGTTGTTCTCGTCCGAATCTAATTGATAAATCTAAGGACATCGTATTACGAAAACCAATAATCGAATTAGTTAAGGAACGAAATTATTCAAGATAAGTCGAATTAATCGGATCATTTCGGATCAATTCGACAGGAATATCATTTGGAAAGGATTTTTCCAGCGAGTGACCTTGGGAACGTACTCCCAGTAAGACGAAATGAATTTCCTTTGAAATTTAAGATGCTGAATGTAATTATTAGAATTGTTGAAATCGTTTTCTATTTTAGTTCGCTCGTGGTATGTTTAGTGGAAGAAAGTTGTTTTTGTAAACCTTTATGAACAAGCTTTACGTTTGGGATGACAAGCTTTTTTGCCGTTACATCAACAGGTAAATGAGTTCACGCACCACATGGTGTTGAGTGGTTACCGGAATTATCTTAATCTTAATGCCACTAATCACTTTGACACTAACTTGACTGGTTAATTGTATAGTTTAATAGCCGTCTTACGCTTGAAATCAGAGCGTTGAATGTTTTGGCGTAAAATTAAGCGGACTAATGTTACTAGTTGTAAGGTATCTTGCGAGTTGGTAAGGGTAGGTATCATCACTACCTATTTCTGTCGTGAAGCAGTAATGCGTTTCGATTTGAAGAGCTAGGCAGTAGTTGTACTGAAAACTGAGACTCATGTCTCAGGTTATGTGGTGGTATTTGCGTTGTTGATGTCTATGGGCTCCGGTGATCACTTAACACCTGGCGGATCGAGTGTGCTCGCCATTTTAACAATGAAAAACTTACCCGTGCTAGCTCACATTACGACTAATATTAATCAGAATAGTCTCGGGTTTGATTAATATTACACTATGTGATTCCTTCATAGTTAATATCATTCCTGAGCGTTAATTACGAAAGCATTTATTTTATTATAAAAATAATTATAAAATAGGTTCCTACAGGTTTTGGAGACTTGAAGACTTGGTATAAGATGGTGAAGATGACTTAAATAAATTGTAAGCTAAGATTTTATTTATTTTATTTGCTTACTGCCATTGTATGTATACAAGCATACGTAAAAAGCGATTATTTCAATATTACAAACAGACACTCCAATTTTATTTACATGTATAGATAGATAACATTACATTTATAGATCATTTTTATGTGATAATACATGTCCATTTCGTAGAATTACGTCTCCATAATTCATTCTTTTGATTTAGATGGGGTGGTTTTGCTTTCAGTCTATGAGATGGAATTCGATTTCCTTAAACAATATTAAAATAATATTGATAATGTTAACAGATTCTGCACTGCAGTTAACACTTAAATATGTATAGATAGTGTTATAAGTGCCGCGGTTTAGTTAGCAGTAAATTTCTGATATATGTATTAAAAATCCGTTGAATGACCCCCGTGATAAGACCCGTGAGAAAGAGTTGCTTGTGTCACTCTCTGAGCTATAAGCTACAAATCGATATTTAGATTGGTTGTACGAAAAATCGATAACTATGGCATACATTATCATATTTATTGTAGCTGATATACTAGGCGTTCCCCGAGTCAGTCTTTTTTTTTTTAATATTCAATATTCGTTCACTCACGCCTTATGTTACTAGTACTGATTTAAAAATATTTTGAAAAAAAAAACCTTTTGTAGGATAACATTTTTTTAAATAATTAATTCCACAATAGACTTCTCAACGTTAAGAGTCGAAGAAAAAGTTTAAAAAAATCAAAAATATTTTATGCATACAGATTTAACAAATAAAATAACGATAATTTTAAAAAGATTCAATAAGGACCTTTGAATATAACACCTAAGTAGTAAACAAAAAAACCAAATGCATAAATACGTAACAAAAATGTACGAATTATCGGGTAATCAAAACAACGAAGCTAAATACGTATTTTTGAGTAAATTAAAAGGAGTCAATCTGATATGAGTTGAGGAGAAATGTATAGAAAATAAAAGGATTTATAGAAAGAATCTCATTTAAGTGAAGTGGCCCTTCAAGTTCTACGGTTTGTACAAACAAACGTTTTCCTTGTCATTTGTAAAATTAACTTCTTAACATTTTAAATGTAATGTAATTATTTTTTTTATTACTTAGATGGGTGGGTGAGCTCACAGCCCACCTGGTGTTAAGTGGTTACTGGAGCCCATGGACATCTACAAACGTAAATGCGCCACCCACCTTGAGATATAAGTTCTAAGATCTCAGTATGGTTACAAATATAACGCTGTTTTTCGGGTATCAGTATTTCGACACATTAAAACACTTAAAAGTTCGGATGGTGAGATTTTAGATTCTTTTTCGACGTGTTCTACGATCCATACACTATCTGATCATAAATGAGTCGACTATTATCAAAGCCGGCAATCTGACTTTTGGACAATGATTGGTAAATCGGAAAAACGAATTATTGACTTTGTATTCCATTGGCAGTCACAAAACTCTTCGGAACGACATCTTAGATAAATAACAGGTTAACTATTAACCTTTATTTAATGCAGGTTTTGAACCGTATTCTTTGAAGGAGACGATTATATTCAAATCAATCTGTATTGACATATCATTAATAAGCTTTTGTCCAAATGCACAGATTGCCACCTTTGATAATAGACGACTCAAACAGGGATTTTTATTTACGGAACATTCGAGAGATATTTAAGTAATCTATTTATTAAGTTTATTATCGACGAAAGGTTTGAATGACTTTATGAATACTTGAAGTGATGGATTATAACGATTTTAACTTTTCTTCCTAACAAGTAGATAAATACGATATATCATATAAGTAAGGCACAAAAATTACAATGCAGAAAATTCAAAAACTTCAGGTGACTTGTCAAATAACATTGTAGTTTTCTACATATATAGTATACCGTGCACTGAAACATATGTATTGTAAATAATATTATTTACATGTCTTTTACTGCTCTAATTATTTGTTATAATATTAAATAGCTGAATTTTCGTCTAAAAAAATTCTGCGTTCGATTTATACATATACTTAAGTTGTATTATCGTGCATTAGATAAGAATTTACTCCTAATATGGATACTGACATTATATTATGTGTAAACTCCGGAGAATTTCTTTGGATAAATTTATTATCAAATATTAGAGGGAAATCAAACATTAAATTGACTACAACGCTGCTTACTTTAAACAAATCGTCAGTAACAAGATAGTGTCGTATCTTCATACGATTTTTTATCTTCGCTTACATTAAATTATTTTCAAAAGTTCAATATTAGAAAAAATATTCAAAATCTTCGATCTTCGAAAAAATGTGCTTTTTTATTTATTTTTTAATTATTTATTATTACGTCCTTAAGAATTGAATTTGTGGAATTCAAAACCTATTAAGAATATGAAGTAAGGCATAACAGTTCAGTGGATACGTTAAAAAGTAATGAGTGATGTAGATATAATTAAAAAAAAAAAATTTTTGTTCTCAATTAAATAAAAAATGGGCCTTCCGCAAGTCTTAAAATCTCATCGAGTACTCACCTCTCCGTGATTAATGAAACCATGTCTGTGCGCGATCTCGTGGGCCCTGTCCAGTCCATTAGGCACATAAACCGCGAACTGGTGATGATACAACGGCACACAACAGTCCAGCACTGAGAGAAACATTAGCACAAACGCGAACATAACGCATTTCTTACTACCGTATTTCCATTTGAACTACGAACGTAGCGTGAACACTCGTGAGCTTCGCAGTTCGACACGAACGCCCTCTGAGACGTCTACGCGCGGACTGAGTCCAGATGACTGGAGTACTGAGAGGGATATGTTTGTGCGCATGCGTGTAAGTTGGCGCCCTTTCTTCAGTGTATTCGCCATCAAAACGTATTGTAGGTGCCGGCAATTGAGTTGAATACGTAAGTGGATAGCATCGATGGATGTTAATTTATTGTTACATATTTTTAATTGCTTTGATTTTTAATGGGCTAGAGATATTTATTTCGAAAGTTGAATCAGGAAATTAATTTTTGAAGAATCTCTTTACATAATTTTTTGGTATAAATGACTACCGACCTCAAAGTGTAGACGGAAATTAGGCGATTTCCTTAAGGAACAAAGAGGTGTGTAATTGAGGGTCTTCGCTTTTCAAAGAACTCAAACAAATACAAAAATATATGAGACACCTGTTAAATATAATATTGGACTGATAGAAAACGATAAATAAATTGAACTCAATAATTTTTTTAAATTTATCATAGCCTCATTGGTTTAGTAATTAGTGACTATCCAAATTTGATTACCGGTAGTACCGAAGTATACGGTATTGTTGTAGCTGTAACTCGTTTTAACTCTCGTCATGGTATTTCGAGGATCCGTCACACAGGAGAAATCTCATCTAAGGATACCTAGTTCAAAGACAATCGATGTTTTTTTAATCCAAACAACCCAAATACAAAATATAATTTTGCAAAATTCGATCTTAAACCACAAAATCTTAACTTCCATTCGCGTATGTCACTACCAAGCGGATATTACTGGTGGTAGGACCTCTTGTGAGTCCGCGCGGGTAGGTACCACCACCCTGCCTATTTCTGCCGTGAAGCAATAATGCGTTTCGGTTTGAAGTGTGGGGCAGCCGTTGTAACTATACTTAGAACTTATATCTCAAGGTGGGTGGCGCATTTACGTTGTAAATGTCTATGGGCTCCAGTAACCACTTAACACCAGGTTGGCTGTGAGCTCGCCCACCCATCTAAGCAATAAAAAAAAAAGATTAAAATATCATTCCGAAACTCAGAAAAAATTCAGTCGTACATTTTTAGTTCAGCTCGCAACGTATTTAAATGACCGAGGTCTTTTAAAAACAGGACTTTTGTAACTTAAGCGAACTGGCTGAGCATACGATTCGAAGTGGGCCGAAGGAATTCAAATGCCTTATTTGTTTTACAAAGAACTTCCCAACTTTAAGCGCGGATGAGGTCTTGAGATGAACTACTGAATAACTTAAATGCTATATTTTATGTTACAACTAAAGTTTTCACTTCGTATTCGGAGTTTAGTGCAAGGTTTAACAAACTATCTTTTTTTGTCTTTCTAGAAAGTGCTAGATAGGGCTAGTCATTATTACTGTTTGATAATGTATGCAGCTACTAGAGACTTAAGGACTTATGTCTCAAGGTGGGTGACTGCATTTGACTTGCAGATGTCCATAGGCTCTGGTAACCACTTAACACAATGTAGGCCGTGTGCTCACCAATCTAAGCAATAAAAAATTAAGAATTTATAACAACACAATATAATTATTAGGAATCAAATATGAATCGAAGTAACAGCATCGTTCAACTCAATCACAAAGCCTCTAATCGTAATCGGCAAAGGCGAGTGCGAACACAATAGAGATAACTCAATAGCGTTATAATGAATTGTTATAATAATGCTCTCGTTTCAGTCTAAGAAAGCTCCATGAAAGCACCTACGTCTGAAAAGCTCGACTTTAGATCCAACGCACTCTATTGTTGAGATGAAAAGCAGTCATTATCGAAAGATATTCACTGAAGAGTTTGTGTTCGAATCGTTTTATTTTATACTATTGTTATGTTTAGTACTGTAATGGGAGCAGTGATCGCGTTTTTCCTTTTCTTTGTACGAGCTTCAACTGTTTTTATTGAAAATTAATATATAACTAGAGGTCCCGCAGTAGTCGAAATTCGACTATAATTAATTGGAATTGTAAGTTTGTACATATGATTGTATTTTATACAAATTTCGCCAAGACTACACTATAAAAAATATTAACAAAGACAAACCATATTTAATCTATTCTCAATTTGACAACACACGTCAAGAACAAAAGTTTGACAATAAATAGTATGCATGCGTGTGTGCGTCAAATACATGG